ATGATCTCGGCGAAAGTTGCATATTGCTCGCGATCACCAAGTGCCTGGCTCAGCGCAGCGCATGGCCTGTTGTAGAACTCACGACGTAGATGCGTGAATGGTAAGTCCAAATCGGGCACTGCCGCGATCTTCTGCCATTCCGTGAGCCAGTCACGTGTTGCTGTGTTGCCTTGAGACATGGTGAAAAGACGGTTGATGGCTAGTGCTGGTGCGTCGTCGACGATGAACCGCTTCTTCCACAACCATGTTAACTCTTCCCATGTGATCTTGTCTTTCAGAATGGCGACGTCGACGCTGTGGGTGGCTGCCTGGTGAGTCAACCAGATCTGGCATCCGCCCTTTGAGTTCATGAACAGGGCGCCGATGTACGCGTGCTTGGCGACAGGCAGAATCCGCAGTTGCGTCATGAAAGCTTCCCGCCAGAGCACCGGGCTGATGCGTGTAGTCGTCGAACTTCTCCATTTGAAAAATTGGCATCTTGTATTGCTTAGGATTGTTGCCATCCGTGTTCGTCGACTGCAGTTGCTGGAACTCGGTCTTCAAAGTGTCCAGCTGATTGTTGATGGTGGTCGGTGCAGCGAAGGTGCTGATGTCGCCGAGCATTGCGAGGATGTGGTCRACGCGTTCCTCCAGTTGGCGGCTAGAGGGTGCACTACTGGAAGCCCCAACATCTGGTCCTGGTACAGCCTGTTCCAGGTCCAGTACACGGGAATTGAGTGCCCGTGTTGCATCCTCGTGGCTCTGCACCATCCGGCGGAGGTTCGCCAACTCGTGGTGTTGTGTCTTCAGAACCTGGTACTCTTGCTGCAGTTCCTGGTTTTGTTTCTCTAACTCGGACCGTTGGTAGTTGCAAGCACACAACAACCGTGTCACGAGTTTGGAGAGGAACTCCTTGTGCTTTTCTTCCGGTGTTGCGTCGTCGCCATTCGGTTCAAAGTGCCAGAACTTGAGTCTCTCGATGCTGTTGGCTTCATGCCGCTGCAGCAGATCCTGGGCTTCCTTGCGGCGAGCCTGGGCTTCTGCGTCTGCTTCGGCCTGTAGCCGCAGCTTCTCTGCTGTTGCCACTTCTTCAGCCTGTAGGCGGGCAGCTGCGGCTGCCACCGCGGCTGCCATCTGGCGTTGTTCCTCAGCCTCAATGAAAGCGAGCTGAGCCTGGAAGCGCTCTTTGTAGTCGGCAATGGGCTCATTGGCCAGTTGGCCTGGCAGGCCCATTGCTGGACCCGTCATGCTGACGTGGCACTGCTTACGTGGCACTGTGACTGATGTGGCACTGCTGACGTGGCACTGTGGCTGATGTGGCACTGCTGATGTGGCACTGCTGACGTGGCACTGTATCTGACGTGGCACTGCTGATGTGGCACTGCTGACGTGGCACTGCTGACGTGGCACTGCTGACGTGGCACTGTGTCTGACATGGCACTGTGTTTGACGTGGCACTGCTGATGTGGCACTGCTGACGTGGCACTGCTGACGTGGCACTGCTGACGTGGCACTGTACCAACTTGGAAATGCATGCAAAGGGGTGGGTGGGAGGGAAAACGTAGGTAGGCAACCAACCCAACAATACTTTCCTCCGGCCCTAATCAACAGATAAAAATAAAATAAAAAATAAAAGAGGACTACTTYYTTTYTTTTTTTTTTTTTGTACGTCTGTCGATCTATTATGAGTGAGACATGTCAGAAGAGTACAATGAGCGAGATCTAGGCTAGGATCCGCAAAGTTTCGGCTTTCACAAAATGCGATCTTGAAAAAAAAAAATTTGCGAAATGGAGTAAAGATGCGATTTTCAGAAAAAGAACAAAATCCCATTTCTGAGAATATGGCAATCTCCGAATATGCCTAACTCAATATTGGTAGGCTTCGCAAGATTTCGGTTTTCAGAAAAAAATTGCGAGATAGAATGGAAATTCGATTTTCAGAAAAGAATAATTTCGGTTTCCGAGAATATGACCACTTCTATCATTATCCCAATATGCCTAGAAAACGAAATACTAACCTCAGAAAATTTCAGCTATGTATGCGAAATATCAGAGAAACGAAATGCCACTATCGGGAATTTTCAGACAAAACGAAATGCGATTTATCAGAAATTTTCCGATAGTTGTTGTGAGAAAAAAAAAATTCAGAGATTTGACGGAGTCCTACTTGATTTACAAACGAGTAATCGATAGATCAAGCAAACTGGCTATTTGATTGAGCGGGTCCTCTGAATGAGAGGTCCGCTCTGATACCAAACTGTTGCATACTGTAACGGTGCAGACCAGAACAAGAACCGACCTCTCAATACAAAGTATAAGATAGCACAGCGGAAGACTTAGATACCAATGATCTGAACAATCAATATTGCAATGCAGCCCTGAACATACATCATCATCATCGTTACAGGGTGTGAATGGGGTCTGGCGCTTCACACAGGAAGACTGCGC